TTTCTTCTCCAGCAGCTAAATTAACTGTAGGTTACTCTGAGTGACAAGCTTACAGTAGACACAACACTGTCATTGCAAGTGACCCTCAGTTAGTTGACTTTTATGTTCAACTGCTAAATTCGTTACTGATAAAAAAGGGCTTCTACTTACCTTAACACTAGAACCGCCAGAGGTTTTTGTATAGGCCTACCTAAAACCGTAAAATCCCGCTATTAGAATGTAATTTTTAACAACATAGGGTGCTATACATAACACACTTTCAGGAAAAGTCACAGACTGGGATATTAGATATACTGTATATATAAAGAATTAAATACAATAACCTTAGAATGTGCCCTCATATCAGCTTACAACTAAATGATAGTGTATTGGGATGGTCTCTCACCTTGTCCATTTCCACTGCTTTACGAATTCTGTCACAAGATCGGTCATGGACGATCTGCAGCCACTTATGAATGGAGGACTTGAACCAGTTATGAAAGCCAGTCAAGGCCAACATTTTAGCATCCCTGTAAGAAAATATATTATATAATATATTTATTTGTAATAAATACAAAGCAGAAGGAAGTGGGAGAAGGTTGAATTCTCATCTTCTTGCTGACATTTAAATCGAATAACCACCGCTGAGAGCTTTTAGCGCTGCTATATTTATTGTCATGAGAGTCTAACTTACTTGAGAGGCAGAAACTCCCGAAAGCCTTTGAGGATTTTCAAGGACATGAAGAGCTCAAAGATGGTCTCTCCCATTGTCTGCGTCAGTCTGGAGCTCTCCTGCTCCAGAGTACCACAGACACGCTCCATCGCTACGTTCACATCATCGGCAACCTGAAGCATCAAATCATTTGTTCAAGCACCTGTTTAAACCCCAACAACAACAACGCTGCATGACTCGCCCAGGTTGTGTAAAACTACTACTACAAGGACTTCTTAATGACAAACCTGTTTCTCCAGCTGCCTGTATGAAATGCTGAAGAAATCTACTTTCACCGCACTGCAAGGACAAAGAATAAATGGAATCAGTACAACAAATACTTAATCAAATGTCTGTTTCTGTGCCAGATAGCATTGGATTTCTGTATTATCCTTAAGTGGATAAGTTGTAGAGCAGGGGTGAACAAACTACGGCCCGCGGACCATTTTGAATCGGCCCTCTGCAAATTAAAAAAGTATAATGGAATATGGCCAACAAATGAAACTTGTGCTTGTATTATACTTCTTAAATATAAATGTAAAAATATATTACA